GGAATAACACCATTTTAAGACCTTTTTAAGACACACATATTTGTAGATGATAGCACACAGAAACCAAATAAAAACAGGCAGCACAAGTCACTGAAAGAAGAGGGTGCTAGAAAATAATTGTTTGCTTTGCATTTTGAAGCTATTTCTGGTGTAAACTACTCTTCAAAAGTGAGGGGCAGTGTCAGTGAGCCCATGTTTTCCTTTGCAGGTAGAGGCTGGGACATATGTGTGTTCCTCTTGTTCTGGAAATGTAATTTATAGCTGAACTGTTCTCTGATTCATAAAATGCAGAGAAATCATTCATCTAGGGCCTGCTGCTTTGATTTCCATGTGATTCCTTTCATGTTTAGAGTAAAGCTTATCTGATAGGTGCTAACCCTTCTTCTCTCCAAGCTGCAAATTAAAGTAATTAGCAAACAAAGCCTGTTGTAGATTTTCCACTGAAGCTGCAAAAATACAAACAGAGAGAGAAGCATCAAGGCGCTCTTCCTTTCTTGTTTAAACATTATAAACGTCATTGATCATTTTACGGAATTAATCTTGCAAGGTTAAAAAACCCTAAGAGCAGAAATGGTGTGAAAAGGGTAGGCTGTGAAAAAAAACAGGGTGAACATTAATGCAAGTGCTCTGCCTGTCAGTGATTCAAGCAAACAAGACACTTAGTGGTAGGTTGGCTGAGGAATATTTCTATAATAGAGAGAAATGAAGTGTGTAGCATAGTTAATGTGATCTGAAGAGCCATTTCCTGGGAACCACTTTTGTTTGTGTCACAGCCCACCATTAAAAAAAAAAGTGTGGCTGTGTGTGTCCTGTGTTTTTGTGCTGAGACTTTCCATTCTTTGCTGTGAGCTACAGCAGTGTGGGGGAATGAAACTTTCTAGGAAGTGTAGATGCTAAAGAAAGCAAAGAGTTGCCTCTTTGCATTTCCAGAGTTTGGCTTGAAATAGCAGCCCAGAAAACAAACTGTGAATGTCCCTCAGTCATGATTTTTAAGTTCAGATTTGTCTGGGAGAGCGACTAGATGACTGATTTTCTTTTTTCCATTAGGAGTTTACTGGTACATCCTTGGCTTTTAGTGTTTGACCAAAATCTGACAGGTTGTTTCAACGAAATTCAAAGAATTTTGAAACTACTTGACTTGTTGTTCAAGGGTGTTTTGTTGTGATTTTTGGTTACTGAGTTATTATTATTTGATGGGGGAAGCTGTGGAGAAGCAATGTTGCTATAATAAGGAAAGCAAAAGCAAAATGCTCCTCAAATGAAGTGTCTTCCCTTCTTAAGGATTGCTTCAGAACCAGGGTACATCCTTTTTTCTGTAATTCTTGTTGGTTTAATGGCAAAGGTTGCAGTGTTCTAGAGGCCAAGACACATCAAGGACAATAAATTAGTGGAGGCTAAGAGTTGGAATGATAAGCCTGGCCATGAGGAAAAAGAAGTGAGGTTATTAAGATTGTTACAGGTCAAATTGTCACAGTTTGGTAGAGGCAAAAGAAACAGTAATCAGAAAAGATTTTTATGAAATGCTCAAGATGCTAGTTTCACTTGACGGGGAAGTTCCCTTTTTTAATTTTGCTTCAGCTGTCTCAGTGGCATCTGGTCTGCTCTTGCAGGAAGATTTTTCAGTTCAGCCTCTGATCCCTCTCATTCTTCCATCAGCTTTCCTGAGACTGTTTTCCTCTCTTCCTCTTTCCCAATACCTGCTGAGCACCAGTGAACTGAACTATGCAGCAAGAATGGCTCTGCTTTTGGGTGTTGCTGCAGCTGTGGAAGTGGAATGACATTCCTGTCACTTGGTCCCAGCTCACCCTTAGTTCCAGAGAGAAATGCAAGAGGAAATCTGCTTTTGTGTTCCTCTAGAAAAGGTGGAGCCCATACTTGGATTCCATACAGGAAAACTGTTCCCCTTGCACTGCCAGCTGAGATACTTGCTCCCTTTCCTTCCTCACTGCTTGGTGCAGCTATTATTAAAGAGATGTGAGGTCATTCTTCAAAAAATCATTTCCCACTAGATGGAGTGTTGACAGCAGGGTGGTCCTGTTAAGGGATACGTATTTCCTGACATACACAGATGTTCTCTGATACTCTCATGTAGATCCAGATCTTCTCCTGGCCAATATTTTTCTTGTGACCTAACAGCTTAATTTAGATGCTAAAACAAGCATCGTAATTTTTAGAAATGTAATTTCCCTTGGGCATGGTTTGAAGCCATCTCCTGTTTAGATGATAAATAGAACCATGAATGAAGTGCTAATGATTAACATTTACCTTGGCAACAAAGCTCATTTTGAAAAAAAAAACAAAACAAAAAAACCCAGACATTTTCTGAATCAGAGTGTATTTGGGTGGGAGGGTTTGGAAAGGAGCTAAAAGTATCAGATGCAGCCCTTATTTTATAAATTTCATCTTACAAGCCAGATTTTCCTCATACTTGCAAAGCCTGTTGATTGATATGGCAGATAGATGTAGTCTGCATGTGTATGAGTGATATCAGTAACCCATCAACTGCTGCTGCCACAAGGAGAGCTGAGCTGGTCATGGCTTTGTGCAGCCAAGGTGGAACGTGGGGGATGTGATAGCAGGATGACACATTAATGGGCAATGGAGGTGCAAACATGGTCTGGATTATGAAAGTGAAGTGGTTCCAGAAAACCTCTTCTTTTTATGCTTGAACGAAGCTCACATTTGTCCAGATGTCACTTAGATTTGTATGGTGTCACATGAGAAAGGAAATATAGAAATTTATTACAAACCTTTGCAAGGGGCAGGAAGTGATGACAAAGAACCAGGGAAGTGAAAACCATTCAGAATTGTTTGCTAATGATTGTTGTAAGAAATTTATTTCTGTAGGAGAAATACTGCAAGAAGACTGACTGTAAAAATTCAAATGTGTTAGTGACAAAGTTAAACTAAAAAGATATCATTGCAGAAAAGTATGGAGAAGTCATGGAATGGGTCTTGGATTGCTCCAAAGCCTTGAATACAAATCTGCCTAGTCCAGGGCCAAGAACCTGGCAATATATAGGAGTTCCACTTGGGGGAAAATATTGTAATTTTTTTCAAAACTGGCCATAGCTAAAGAAGAATAAAAACAATTTTGATAAAACAGAGATAAAACTGGTCCTCTACTAAACACAAATAGCAACCAGTTCAGCTCATGGGAATGGAGGACAGGAAACTCATAGCTGCATATTGGCACAAACCTTTGAGCAGGTGGCACAGCTTAAACTCTTGTTTTTTTCCTTCTAAGAACATTTAAACTGAAACATACTGCTCTAAGTACTCTAAGTAATATATTAGTGGCTCACAGGTATGGTGGACTCTGTCTGGATGTTAAAAGTTTGAGTTTTCTGGGAGGGTCAGCTCACCTTTCTTTTCAGCACAGCCAAAGAGTAATGATATAAATGATCTTTCTAAGTATTTTCTTAAAGTCTTCTTTTGATAGAGTATTTTAAATAACACAAAACATTGCATGGCTTAGTATGCAACAATTAACAGCTTTTCAAAAATCTGCTCATTTGTACAGCTGATGTCTGAAAAATCACAAAGTTTCAGCCTTGGCATGTGTGGAGGTTATGCAACATCTGAATATAAACCATTCAAAGGTTTCCAGGTATATCCTTGCAAGCTGATGAGAAACAATTCACTTAGAGGTGATGGTTTTCCATCAGAAAGCAATAGAGCAGAAATACAGAATGGGTAAATGTTTGCAGGAGAACAGGAGGGAAGTAAGTGTGTTTGTGATGACTGCTTATCATGAGTTGGCTGATGAGGGCAGCCAGCAGATGTCATAGAATATATTATTTTTGTTCTTTACGCAGTTTATTTACGTATCTGAGCTAAGTGCATTAAAGCCTTAATTCAGATGCAGTAACTCTGCCTTGCATCGCTTCATGCTGGAAAAATAGACCTTTCCCAGTCAACTAGAATGAACAGATGCTGCTTCAAATAGCTGGCAGATGTTAGAAACAAGTGAGCAGGAATCAGTTTGAGGGGCCTGTCTGGAGGAGCCAGGTCTCCCTGGGATTAGCAGAGAGGGAAGGAACTGAGGAGGATTTTCCCAAAGAAATGCCAAACAAAGTTGTACTGACTTTTTTTAGTTTAGATGAAAAAGCTCCTAATAATTTCCAGAAATCTCTTATCTTACACCTCCCTTTGGGTTTTTTTGGTTTATGGTTTGTTTTTTTTTGCTTGTTTGTTTTTCAGCCCAGGTGAGACTGCCAGCTTGGATATGTATTTAGGGCATAAGAATTGTAAGTAATAAATCTCCAGAAGCTATCTAAGAACCAAGCAGGTTTTCTATTACCTCTTTGCAGAAATAGAATGAGAGGAGATAAATGGAAAAAATGGCCATGTGAAAAAAAAACAACAGAAAGAAAAATGTCATTAGTATAACTTATTTTTTTGCAGCTCTAGAAGAGCTGGTTCTTCCCACACAGCAGTTTCACAGAAGTTTTTGTCAATCTCTGGATTGCTGCTGGATTAAAAACTGAAAATTACTGTTGTGGGCAAGGTGCTTGCAATGATGCAGATTACCTGGTTCATTATTTTTTATAAGGTATTACACGTGGACCATTAAAAAACTCAGTAGTTTATAGAAATCCATTTTCAGTCTGCTTGTGAGACCATGCTGATTGTTGTTCTACTCTGTTTCTTTGAGAAAAGATGTTACAAATAATGTTATTCTTCTTGAAGGGAAAGAAAAGCCCAAAATCATAGACCAGCAACATAAATTAGGCAAATTTGACTGTGTAAGGTGGGAGTACAGCATGGACTTTAAAGAAAGTACTTTTCTTTTTGCTATTCCATAGTGATAGAAAAAGGCATAGTCATTCAGCCTGGGAGCTAAGGTTCCTAACATTAAAAGGTGAAGGTGGTAAAGCATGGGGGTTTTAACTGCTCATTGATTACAGCAGGAATCACAGAGCAGGTGAGGCTGGGAGGCAGCTCTGCAGACCATTTAGTCCAACCCCCTCCTCCAAACAAGGTCAATTAGAGGTTCCCATGGCAGTCTCAGGTTGGATATTGTCTCCCCCCAAGGATGGATATTCCACAGCTCCACTGGGTAACCTCTTCTAAACTTCTGTTACCCCTGAACCTTTCTTTTCTACCATTTCTTGTTTAATATAGAATTTACTGGACTTCAGTTTATGGCCATGAATATTATGGACTGGACATATTACCATATTGTCCAGTCACTGGGCACCTCTGAGAAGTGACTGGCTCCCTCTTTAGTGACCCTGCTCTGTCCTGCCCTGCTTGTGTATCCTCACTGATATCCCTCAGCCTCCTTTTCTCCAGCTTTTCCCATTCTCTCCCTACAAGTCTGGTGCTCCAAGCCCCACTCATTTGTAGCTACCTGCTGGCCTCACTCCAGGATATCTGTGTCTCTCAGAGCTAGAGCTGGCAGTGAAGATGTGAGTGAGCACTCTTCTAAATGGCAGCATGGTATTGAGTGGAGGCTGGCTATTGTAAATAGAGAGGGAAAGAGAGACTGAGGATCAATATGATGCTTGCCATCAGTTAAAACACAGTCAGTAGAAACAGAGTAGAAAACTATCTCATGGCAGCCTTGCTTTATTTTTGAAATAGAAATGCTAAGTCTAGAGAGTACGCTGTTTGCGTTAATGCTTTCATTTTTGGGAAGGTGAGGGGTTTATTCTTGCAGCAGGATCTAAGATGAGCCTAGCTTCAGTAGTGGTGTTTCATTCACAGCCTAAAACACAGTGTATCTTCTGAGTAATTGCAGTTACACTACAGGTCCTTACCACTGGAAAGAAATAAAATCTGGTCAAATATCTGTGGGAAGATATATAAATGATTTGGCATTAAATCTATACTGAGTCTAGCCCAGATGCCCTGCTTTGCGTTGTAGCAGATGTTAAGCTATTTAGCAGGGATTTTTCTACCTCTTTATTGTAGTTGATGCTACAAATTCCTGATCCACATTTATTTAATGCTGTTTATAATAGTATCTTGGTCCAATATTTTTCATGATTTTCAGGAGAATGTGCATACTCTCTTGAAAGCAGAGCATGGTTTCCAGAGCAAAATTAAATACCATCATATCTCTTCTAGGGTTTAGTCTCTTGACCTGACTCATTGCAGGGAGACCAGTTCTTTCCAAGCTCCTAAGATTGTGGAGCTTAGCTCTGCCATACTTTTCTGCACCCCTCTGCTATCACTTGTGAATGGTAAAGAGAGGAGATGCTTTCCCTTCCTTTTTGAGGTACTTTTGACCAGCCTGTGCAGCTTTCCAACAGAGAAATTTCCTTCATTTGAGAAAAAACCTCTGCTTTGTTTCCCTACAACCAGTCTAGACCATAAAACATCCGTTCTGCAGCATTTTAAGTAACACACCATCTTTCCTGAGTGGAGCTTTCCTATGGCATTTACCAATCAAGAACAAGGCTGTTTTCTTCCAGGGCCCTTACTGTAACTAAATTTTCAGACTGCATTGAAGAGACATTTTGTAAAAAGGTAACACTTTGGTTGTTTGGGAGATGGCAGAAGTTCTGTGCACTTATTCCTTCAATGGCTCCTTGTTTCTGGTACAAGTGACAAAGCAACTGGTACCCAAAATGGGAATATCCTGCTCAGACTGTCCTGTACCCAGGACAAGTCTTTTAAATAAAGTTTCAGTCAAACATCTAACTCCCAACAGGAGAAATTGTTGAAAGCATTGTCTTTCTGATGGAATACAAATTTGTCTGTTAATCAAAGTGGAAATTGTCTTTAATCCAAGCAGATGACTGTTGGCTGGCCTATGGATAGCTTCAGTATGTAACTTGATCAACAAATCTATGAGCAGAATGTAATTAGATGTGTTTTCAGGGCTCTGCACTGTTGTCTTGGGTGATTCATATTGGTACTGCATTCCACATCAATCTGTGCCCAGAAATTGTTGCTGTATCATTAGGGCCCTACAGCTGCAGACCTTGTGTGTGTGGGGTGGTGGGGAGGGTGGTCTGGGTGGTTTGCTGTGTGTTGGCATTTTTTAAATCCTCCCCTCTAGGGCTTTGTCGCATTTTTTGCTGTGGTATTTGCTTCCCTGGCTGTTTGCTCTTGGATATACAATGCCAAAGCATTTTGGTTTTTTTCCTCAGCTCAGAGTAGCTACCTTTGAGCTGCCTTAAGGATGAATCCCACAGCTGGTTGCCTGAAGCTGGGGTCATTACACTGGCAGCAGCAGAGCTGAGTGGTCCCCAGCCCCACTCACCATTGACTGTGCCAAGCTGGGGACAGCAAACACCAAAGTTCTCCAGCCCAGCTGCTCTGCCTGCTGTGCCTTGCCATGGGGAGGAGGTCCATGCTTGGTGAGCCTTGGCCTGCTGCTGGAACAGCTCTCAGAGGCTCCTGCCTTCCCAAGAGGGATCTGGCTCCTGCCTTCCCAAGAGGGATCTGGCTCCTGCCTTCCCAAGAGGGATCTGACACCGTTCCTGTCCCTTTCGTCCTACAGGCCTGGACCCATCGCTTCCAGGACTCATGTTGGAAATGGGTATTCCCAACATTCTGGTCTCTCATTGTTTCACTGGGGATCTGAGGGTTAGCAGTTTGATATCTAGCAGTTATTTAGTTTTTTCACTCCTCTTCCTGGTGGTTCTTTTTATTAACAAACTATTGTTTTTTTCACTTTTACCTGTGAATAATCATTCCTTACTGGTGAAAAATCCTTGAAGGGAGACAGCTAATTTCAGTGTTCTCCTTCAAATTGTCATACAAAGACTACTGTGTGTTCAGCTAAGACTTGTACCTAGCCTCTATGCTAATTGATTACCACAAACTGGAAAGAGAGAATGATTTCATCTCTGATCACATGTAGTAGTACACCAGGCTTTCCTCATAACACAGATTTGTCTTGTGTAAAACTTCCAGATCTTCTCATTGTAGACTTCTTGATTTCGACAGAACATTGCTAAGGGACTCTAAATGATTGAATAAAAATCCACATAAAATCCAGGTTTTATATTTATCTGATTTTAACCATGTTATTACAAGATTGGTGAATGCACGTTTTGTGTGTCTGTGTGTGTGATTCAAGTCCTCAGATCCAGCTATACCCCTGGGAAAAACCAAATATCTAAAATACAATTTTCATTTTTCATATTATCTAGTAACTATTGGTGAATGTTGTTCATATGGAAAATGTGTAACAGTGTTGTCATCAGTGTTTTGCTGCAGTAATAACTTGTCTTTTCTCAATAACATATATGCAAGTGCATGATTAAGTGTGTTTTTGAAATGCACAGATGCTGTGAAACTGGGGAAAAAAAATTCATTTTGTTTATATAAGATTGCTCTGTCTACAACAGATCTGAGTAATGCTAATCATTCCTTTTGTCCTCACAAAGCTTGCCATTTTCTTGCTTACAATTATTCAAATATGAACCCTTCCTGAAACACAATTTATGAAATGATCAGGCTTAAAAAAATTACCAAAATCAAGTCAAATAAATGTTCCTCCCCCTATACCAAAGAAAAGCTACTCAGACACTATTTGTTCTTCATATGTGTATGCCATAAATGTTCATAGAAAAAAAAAATCCACATATTAACCTATTCCTGTTCATGTCATTTAAAAATTATTATATATTTCTGATGGCAGGTTTGCTAATGTAGGATATGAGGACAATGCTGGGAAAAGATCTATCAGCTGATGTGGGTGATAATTCACAGGGGTTTCTCTGCTGACAAAACAATTTGTGTAATTGATGTCCCTGGGGGAAGGCTGGGGGAAAAAAATCAAAAACCAAACAAACCAAGACCCACACATATACTAACTCCTTAAAAAACATGTACACACCCAAACACACATGCACCCTCTTCCACTCTCACTCCCCACCCCAAAAAAACCCACAAAACTAAAAACTCAAAAAAACTGACAGACAAAACAACTCACACGTTTGACCAGCTGAAAATTTTCATTTGGGTGCAAAGATTTTTTGTGTGCTCAGTATCCCCAATACCTTCAAAAGAGTGAAGTCTTTCCATGTGGGAAAGAAAAGATCAAGAGCATTGACTTACTGTAGAGTAACAGAAATGATCTTTAACCTTGTGCTGGGACTAAAGTAGCTTTTAAGGATTTTGGGGGTCAGGAAACCATAGAAGTTCTTGCCTTTAATCTTCCCCTGCTTTGGCCTCACACTGAGGAGATTAGGCTGAAACGCTGGGCACTGAGGACAAAAGTTTCTAACAGAGTTTTCCTGTTGTCCTGACTTCCTGAGCTAGTAGACAGGGATGAGGAGCAGAATAACCCCCCTGTAATCCAGGAGGAAGAAGTTAGTGACCTGCTGAGCTACTTAAATGCTCACAAGTCTATGGGAGCAGAGGGGATCCATCCTAGGGTGTTAAAGAGCTGGTGGAAAAGCTTGCCAAGCCACTCTGCATGGTTTACCATCAGTCCTGGCCAGCTGGGGAGGTCCCAGATGATTGAAGATGCCAATGTGATGCCCAAAAGGGCTGAAAGGAGGATCTGGAAAGCTCCAGGCCTGTCAGCCTGACCTTGGTGCCTGGCAAGGTTATGGAATGGATCATTTTGAGTGTGGTCACACAGCACCTGCAGGACAGCTGAGGGATCAGACCCAGACAGCACAGATTTATTTATGACTTGATGATCAGAAAGGCTTTTTCCAACCTAGTCAATTCTGTGATTTGAGATGAGTATTTTGATGCACTGTGAAGCAAAAAGGCCTCCTTTTGAACAAAACAGAAGGGACAGGAAACTGGAGAGTAAATATTTTCAATGAAATTCACTTTGTCTTGTATTTGCCTTCATACAAGAACACGGACAGTTGATAATGCTTTTTGTGGTCTTGTGGAGATTTTCTGAGGTACTAATCCGAGTTTTCCATGAGGTTTTGGGTGGTAGCTTGGGAGATCTCAGACTAAACAAAGGCATTGAAACTGTGAAACACAATTACTGTGTAGCAGGAATTTTCATTGTCTGTTTTCTGTAAATGAAAAGGACTATAAATTGCCAATATTGTGCCTTATAAGAATAGGTGAGCTGGAACTACATTATTTCTTCTTAAAGACCAGGGAAATGCTGGGCACTTCTCTGATGTATATTCATGATGCTTCTTACAGAAGTAAGAAAACTAATTATCCTCAAAAGCTGTGCAGATGCTTCTTAAATGGGAAGCATTTGAAGAGCAGTTTTTCAGCATTCTGAAGATTTGAAGAACTGTAAAAATACCAATGTCATTGTGTTTGTGGTAACTTTAAACCCAAGAGTGTCTGCCTTGCTCAAACTTCATTACACTGTCAGATTAAGTTAGGAACTCCAAGAGAAAGCCATCCATTTATTTCAGCCAAAATGCCACCTCAGTGCTTTGTTTGGCAGTCTGAATGCGCTCTGGTCAGACAAAGGATTGGATTGATGCTCCTGGGGAGTCTGAGTGACAAAGTAAACTGGTAATGTTTCTCAGGAGTGAGTATTTACAGAGTTAGTCTTATTTTACAATACTGTATCTACAGATTTAGTCTTTTTTTTTATTTTTGAAGCCATTAATACTGTGTCATTTTGGCCAAGGAAAAAAACAATTGAGTACTGCTGCTTTAATTTTCTTTCAATGCTTTAAATTTCTTTCTCTGATTATATTTTAGCTTTCAAAAAAGCTGTCTCCTTGAAGGTTTTACCTTGTGCTTTCCTTTTTCACTGTGACTTCAATGAGAGAAATGGACACAAGGCAAAAATATCTTTTGGATGTTTTCAAATTATTCTTTGGGGGGATGAGTCTAAATCCATAACACTGGAATTCTGTAGATGTAAATTTTCTTGCACAAGCTTCAAGGTAAGCTGAAATTCAAAGGTTTATTGAGAGTGCTTTGTCCTTGCCCTCATTGGATTTTTGGCAACATGTGAGTTTTAACAAGAGCTGAAAGGTCTTTTCTTTATTACTTTGAGTGATGCCACCCTTGGTAAAAACTGCTTTTAACTTTGAGCAGTCATTCTGAAACATTAATTTCTGTAAAAGCAGTTAACCAGAAGAGTGGATTTTTTTTTTTTTTTGTCAGATGCAGATTATTGTGTGCGCAGAAGTAAACTGCAGAAATAATAATATAATTTAGTCATCATTACAGGGACACTTTGAGAAAGTTATCATGTTGTTTAGTGCTTTGGACTGGAAAGTCTGAACTAAAGCTCCAGTACTGCAGTTTCTGGCCTGCTGCCATGAGCAGCAGGCTCTGAGGAGGGTACAACCAGCTTTTAAGGAGCATATTTTTGTTTTCTTGGCAGCAAGTTTCATATTTTAACAATACTAGAAATTATTCAAATTGACATCTCAGATGCGGACTACATAAGAAGAAATGATGACTGAGAATCTGGTAAAATATCAAATCAGTATCAAATATAGCTGAGAATAAAAGAAAAAACCTCCAGGTGTGTTTCTACACATGGCTACCTGTAAAAGGGCCCTGCAACAAGAAAAGGAGAGGAAGTTCAGTAGAAAATTATGTGTCAAACTGCATTAACTAGTTCCCTGGAGGAGTATGGAGACATGAAGGTCAATATAGCAATGAAGAAATAGCAGGATGTTTCATGGCATCTTTTCTTAATTTAGATTAATTTTCAGTAGATTGAATTGTTCCTGACTTTTCTCCCATATACTGTGTGAGTCAATGTTGTATTTAGATATTGTGAACTGTTAAAATATTTTTTCTAGTGTCCCCACTTTCACATCTTCTTTTAGCTAGTGCATATGGTCTGAGATGGATATTGCTGGTTTTCTGTCTGTGATTTGTCTGGGGTTCAACTAAACCTCACTTGACACCCCAAGTGCTCTGACTAGGGAGGCAGTGCTACGGGGGATGAAATCTCAGTGAAGGTTTTAAGAGTTGGAGTTTTTTTCTGTAAATGGAGAGCACTCATCTGCACCATTTTTCTAACTGCACTGTGACTAAAAGTATCAAGGAGAAATTGGTGAGGGAATGAAGCTTAAAAACAAAACAACAACAAAAAAAAAGCCCATAGGTTCCCCTAGCAACAGTGATTTATAGTCTTGTAGACCAAGACTGCTTTTTGAGAATTTGCCCAAACCCCAGAATCAATGCACTGCTTTCCTCTTGAGGATGTGGGAAAAGTAAGTAAAAGATTTTTCTAACCCTGGGTATGATGAGAAATGAAAGGCCCAAATAAATGCTGTCTAGGGATCATTTACTTCAGACTTCAAATCTCGAATCTTCAAGCAACCCTCTGGAAAATGTGAGAATTGGTTTTGTTTTCCGTGCTGAAAAAGAGACAGACATATCTAAGTTGTATATAACTTTGTTTCTACATGATAATTTTGATTTCCAATTCCCCACAAGCCATTCAGTTCTTTTCAGGATATTTCACTTTTATCATCTTTCA